GTCTCCACACAACCTTCTCTTCTCCAGGCTGGACAGCCCCAACTTGCTCAGCCTGTCCTCCTAGGAGAGATGCTTCAGTCCTCTTATCAACTTTATGGCCTTCTCTGGACTTGCTCCAACAGTTCCATGTCCTTCTTACATTGAGGGGACCAGAACTGTGTGCAATATTCCAGGTGGGTCTCACACAAGCAGAGAAGAGGGGGAAAATTATAAACAAGTATTCCCCAAATGAATTTTCCAGGGTGAACTAAAATTATTCAGAGTGGCTGGCTGCAGACTTCTCTTATCCAAACCCTCAAGCCTGCCTATCAAACACACCCCTGTCAGTGATGCCTCAGCCACCACAGCGATATGTGTGTTGACATGGACTGGGATATGACAGTGACACCAGGGTATCAGTCTGAGGTCAGATTGCAGCCCCAGGAGAGTGGTCTGAAGAGAATGTGCCAGACACACCTTCAAGGTCCTATTAATCTCCAGAATTAGGGCTATAAATTTGGACTCACCTGTTGCAAGTGAAAATCTCTCGCCACATATCTTCAGTTAGTTTATTGAGTAAGCATAGAGCAGGTGTAATGGGACAAAACAATTTTCCAAGGCTTTCTGTCCACTCAAACTTTACTTGTTTACTTAAACAGTAAACTTAGAGTTTATTCTGTTTTGTGCATGGGTTTGGTTATTGCCTTGCTTCGATAATACCTGACTAGCTAAAAAAGGTTAAGAACAAGTCTATTTAACAATGCATGTTTTTCTAGAGGAAGTATATTTTATATTTGTTGTGCTTTGTTAAGATTATGCATGATTACCAACTTCAGTGACTGAAAAATAAAGAAGGGGAGAAATTCAGTTGCCTTGAAAAACAATTCATTTTCTTGAAGCAGCTTCTGTTTCAGTTAAAGATGTGTTAGGGCTTTTTTTCCTATAATGAACTCAGCAAATACGGACTAATTAAGTGAAATCTATCTTCCCTCTCATGTTTTTTTGCCTTGCCACAAGCAGCTGCTGTAAGTTACATCTCTGGAGTCAGCTGCTGTAGTTAGCTCTAAGGTTTGTAACCTTTAAAGGCACTGTGCTAGCAAGCCCAAACCTTGTGCTGCAAGGAGTCTTGCTGTCAACTTCAAATCTTCATGTTCTCCCAGGTTAAGTGTATACAGACCATGTGTACTCTCACTGTGCCCCTGACACAAAACTGCAGTATGGTCTAATAGTCCAGAATCAGGGAAACAGCTTGCACGTAATGCAATGGGAAATATTCAGAGAAGCATAGGTCAGATGGTCTTTACTTCTGGTCTTCGGAAAACTATGTGATACCACAAGTGTTTTATATGAACAGACGTGTTTTCTCCCAAACAGGTTACTTTCTGCAATGGATACCACCCTCTCCTTAGAGAAGGTGCCCAGTGCTTTTTCACTGTTTGAGCACTATGCAGACAGCCCAGAACAAAGCAACCAGCAATCCTTACAACATGTGGCTGGTAAGAATCTCTGAGCATCGCCTTGACAAAAGCTAACATTTTGGCAATGCTTTGGAAATTTCAGGAGGCTAAAAACAGAATCTATTTGAGAAGTATAAATTTGCAAACCGTGTAATTAGCAATCAGAGTTGAATGTAAAATGAAGTTTAATTGTGCACAAGTGTTTGGCTTATAGTAGGTACAGTAAGATGAGCAACAGAGGGAGAAGTGCTAAATTGGGGGATTCTTGCATCATTTCAGACATCTGTACCTCAGACTAGATGAAGGTCTTGATCTGCAAACCTCCCAGGGCTAAAGAACTAGCTCTTCATGCAGGCAGGCACAAAAGAAGCAATCAAAGTGTCTCCTGAGCTCTCTTCCTCTGAGGGTGATAGCCCCAGCATGCATGGTGTGGGGAGGAGAGCGGAGGGCTGGCTGATGGCTGAGGTCAATTGGCTTGTGCCCAGTGAATGGAGGCACCTGAAACCCCCAAGGGGTGTGAAGACAAAGTGGTTAACTATGGCTGGAAACAGCCTCTGCTTGGGAGGGCAGTAGTGAAAATTGCACGTGATGAAGAGGTTTATTTAATTCTATCTGATATTTCATGTCCTGTAAAAAGTCTGACTGTGTAGGCTTCCAGCTCTTCCTGCCTATATAGGTGTATTTAAATCTGGACAGCTCTAAGTGGAGATTTTGTCAGCACCAATTTCTGGATTCATTTTTTTCCTAGCGGGGACTCATTCCAGTGTTTTTTTTTTCAAGAGAACATTTGTGTAGGGATCTTGCATCTCACTGTTGTGCTCTGTGACCTCCCATTCACTGTCACATTCACTATGACCATCATAGTCACTCCCAGGCTTTTGAAGCAGTCTCTTTCTCCTGTATTTGGTCCCTGAGCACCAAAACTGGACCATAAAATTTCCTAAGGTGCTCTGTTTCCTGGCTGGATTTTCAGGTGGTTCATTGGAGAAGTGCCACCTTGTGCAGGTGTCTAAAAAGAGTTGAGTGCACTTAGGGTCATCTCTCCTCCACACTAATACTTTCATTAGACCTAGAGGAACTTGAATATCACAGAATCACAGAATATACAGAGTTGGAAGGGACTATTGAGGATCATCTAGTCCAACTCCTGTCCCTGCACAGGACATCCCCAAGGATCACACCATGTGTCTGAGAGCATTGCCCAAACACTCCTTGAGCTCTGTCAGGCTTGGGGCTGTCACCACTGCCCTCGGGGGCTCTTCCAGTGCCCAAACACATCTAGGGAAGAGCCTTTTCCTGATATGCAACCTCAACCTCTCCTGACACAACTTCAGACCATTCCCTTGGGTCCTGTCACTGGTTGCCAGAGAGAAGAGGTCAGTGCTGCCCCTTCACTTTCTTCCGTGAGGAAGTTGTATACAGCAATGAGACCTGTCCTCAGTGTCCTCTTCTCTCTCTGTCTGAGATCTTAAAGTCCTTGTCAGATTTGTATGAATTTGCCTGCAGCATTCAGAGCTTCTCAGGTGAAGTTGGACAGGCATTTGTGCACACTGCATTATCTCACTGACATTTTTTTAGGAAGTTGGATTAAAAAGACCTTTTTTGTCATCCACTCTCAGTTAACTTACCGGTGCAAATGTGCTATTTGTCTTGGCTTACTTCCTAAACTTCCTCTTGCATTCCCATGGCTGCAACTATTCATTCCTCCTAGACTACTACCTACTGGCAAGGTCATAGAGGAGGACAGATCCATTCTGTCACGCTGTATTTCTTTTTCCCACAAGCCACTGCAACATGTATTTCCCTAAACTGCTGAAATCTGCTCTTTCAGGTTGGTTTGCATTAGCTATGGTGTTTCCTGGCCCCAGACCAGTTTGCTTGTACAAATGGAAAATGAATGACTGTCCACTAGCAAGAGACCTTCAAAGCTGCTTATCCTTTATGCTTTTCTTTATACTGTGTACAGTTCTGGGCCCCTCAGTTCAGGAAGGACATTGAGGGGCTGGAGTGTGTCAAGAGAAGAGGAATGAGGCTGGTGAAGGGACTCGAGCACAAGTGCCATGAGCAGAGGCTGAGGGAGCTGGGGGTGTTCAGCCTGGAGAAGAGGAGGCTCAGGAGAGACCTTATGGCCCACTGCAACTCCCTGCAAGGAGGTTGTAGTCAGGTGGGGGGTTGGTCTCTTCTCCCAGGCAACCAGCAGGAGGACAAGAGGGCACAGACTCAAACTCTGCCAGGGGAGGTTTAGGTTGGATATTAGGAAGAGATTTTTTACAGAGAGAGTGATCAGGCATTGGAATGGGCTGCTCAGGGAGGTGGTGGATTCACCATCCCTGGAGGTTTTGAAGATGAGACTGGATGTGGCACTTAGTGCCATGGTCTAGTAACCACGGTAGGGTTGGACTCGATGATCTTTGAGGTCTTTTCCAACCTAGTTGATTCTATGATTTTATGACTCTATGATTCTTCCTTTCCAACATACCTGGTTTTCATTCTTCAGTTCTGCTACCAAGTATTCAACCACTATTGTGATTTTTACTTTGGTGAGCACTAGACAAAAACATTTAGGTGGTTTTTTTGTCTGATTGTTTTTTCAAGTTTACACGCTTCTTGTAACTAACAGAGTTACATGCATACATGAAACTTCATTTCGAATTGAATGCCTTGAGTACATAATTTATCAGACACTGGAGGCCATTGTCAGAATTCTGTTTGACTGAAGCCATGTGATGAAATATACATGGATTTGCCAGGTTTCTCCAATCCATATATTTTTCTTCAGATAGTATGGTCTTTTACTGAACAATTTAATAGAATTTGATTTTCACCAGTTCAGAAACATCTTTCCTCTAAAACACCCTCCATTTCCATATTTTCCATCTCCACTAATTAAAAGCCTTTTTCCCTCAAATTCTTCCTCCTTTCATGCAAGCCATCCCCATTAACAAGTTCATTAGCATAACAAAACCCTTGCAGCATGCTGTTGAGTGTATTGGAACTCAGGTTCTGCTACAAGAAGAGTGGGAATAACTTAAAAAATTTAAATTGTTCTTTTGCAAAGCCCGCTGTAATTCCTGCCCTTCTTTACTGGAAGGTGAAGACCTTTGCTGTCTGTAAAAATCTTCCATTAGAGTCTCAGAGGAATGTAACTGCTCTCCTTCTGTGAGTCCACAAAGCCAGGGAAGTGTTATTTTTCATTACATCAGGAAACATTTGGGATTGTTATTTTCCTCCCAGGAGCTGTGGAGTCTAGGTAACATGAAGGAAAAACTTCCTTACACCACAGCACTTCAAAGAAAACTGAACTGATTGAGAACATGTCCCACTTTTCTGATGAAAGATATCATTTAGTCAAACTCATGGCAGAAATATCTCTTTTTTTTGATTAAAATTCACTTAAAAAGGGACCAGCACTGTGACAACACATATATGTTCTGTTTCTGAAGAGAACAGTTCAACTTCTTGCTTTGAAATTGCCTCATTTCAAAAGTTTGTTTCATATTATGCAAAAGGAAATTAGAAATCAAAAGTTTCTCAGTGTTGCTGAACTGAATTTTGATCTACGACTTTTTTTTTGTGTTGTTTCAGAAGTTTCATTCAGTAAATTATCTTCTGTTCAGATTTGGCATAATAATAAATCTTGCAGTTGTGGAGTTTCTGTGATCATAAATAGTGGTTTCTAGGCAACTTCATGGGGAAAAAAAATAAGCTGGTTTCCCCACCACTGAAAGGAAGTATTTTCCTAAAGACGATACATTTTTTAATTGCCAGCTCTAGATGCAGTCAAAAGACAAAATGAAGATCGTTTTTAGCATGAGAAGGCTAATTTTTTTTCAATGGGAAGCAGATGTAATCCTACTGTACTGGTAGTTCTCTGCATAAGTCATAAGGAAACAGCCAGCATCTGCATTTGCCTTGTTCATGCCACAGGGGATCATCATCATTACTGTGAAGATAACTGAAAAGAAAGCAAAAGCTTTCTGCTGAGATTCTAAGGGAATTCATGCAATATGGAAATTTACTGGGTGAAGAAATAGAACCATGTATTTTCGTTCCCTGCAATCACTTTAACAATGAACATCTTTTGGGGCTTTTTGCTTCTTTCTTTCCCCTCCCTCTCTTTTAAGACATAATCACAGAGGGGAACAATATCTCATCTGGGATGGATCTATGTCGATCAGGAGACAAAGTTTATGTGAAATTTGGGGAGCCTTGGTAGTCTTTGAAGCACTCTTTGTGGGGGATGATCCTGGTTGTCCCATGGAGTGCAGGTGCTTTGGCAGAGTTCAGGTACACCTGCACACAAAGGATTGTCAGTGCTCTGGCTCTGTGGGAAAATCACCATGTCAGGAAGGAGCATTGAGTTGTGCACCTGCAGTAAGAGTCAACCTCAGGGCAGGGGTGGACTTTAGGCTGCAAGGAGCCTCCTGCTTCGCAGAGCTGTTGGAGCCTTCCTCTGCCTAAAGCACATCCCTGCTGCTGTCAGTGTTGGTGGAATTGACACTCTGCATGAATCCCTTCCTGGTGTGGCAAGTCCTTTCTCCTGGCCACATTTCTGGGGTCAGTGTAGAGATCTGTCTCTGGAGGAGGGTGGCACACACTTTGTGCTAAGTTCAGGTTGTCCCAGTACTAGGACTCAATCTAATTTTGTCCAGACTCTGAGGCAAATGGACAGATTCCAATGCTGAGCAGATACTTTTTACTGTTCCTAGTTTAGGAGGATTTATTGCTCTGAAACTGCACCAGTATTCTGTATGTCCTGCTGTACTTGCTCTGTAGAAATAAGCAAACAAGAAAACAAGCATCTGGGTTGCCTCACAAACTTGTAGGTAACTTGGCTGTAAACACAGGTGCTTGTATAACAACAGGAGATTTTCCTCTCAGTCCCACAGACGCCAACTGTCATACCTCAGGAGCCAAACTCGGCCACCAGCACCTCCATCGCTGTCTACTGGGCTGTGAATGATGGGGATGCCATCGACTGCTTCCAGGTCTACTGTATGGAAGAGCTGCAAGCCAGCAAAGATGCAGGGGGTGTGTATTGCAGGAGTCCTTTCTGCCCTGGTCTGGGGTAAGCAGAGGGGAGGAAGAGCTGCAGGGGAGTGCTCAGCTTGCAGAAAGAAGAGTGGCTGTGAAGACATCAAAAGTAGGACTAAGGATGGGCAATGGTAGAGGAGAGTGTGAGGCAGATGCTGTTCCTTCTTCTCCCCTTTGTCCTGCAAAATGCAAGACAAATATCATGGTCTGTAAAGTGAAGGGCCATTGTTTTCACACCCTTGAGGTGCCTTTTTATGAAGTGACCTGAGCTTCAGAGAAGATGTGTCCATGCTGCCCTGTGGGTACCCATGGGGACTGCAGATAGACCTCCCAAAGGGATGTGCTACATTAGGTTTTTAGGGCCCTGCATGTCCTCATTAAAGAAGCAGCAAGAAAAGATAATCAGTATTTCCACATACAGACAAAGGTTTCTTTCATAATATTTCAGATGTTAAATATAAAATTGAATAAAGGAGGTTGAAATGCTCATGCATTAAAAAGCTCAAACTGACTATAAAGTCACTTTTAGCAACCAGACTCTGCACAAATCCATGTGTACGTGTGGCTGTGCAGGCTAAAGGATGCTAATGGCTTTTTACAATAGATAATTTATAGCTAAGTGCTGTATAGTTCATTTTGAGAAATAGTTGTGTTACAGAGTGGTGAAACCAGGGCTGGTAACTGCCAATTATGTGTCCCAAGCTTGTTGTCTTGTCCTCAGCAGAACTGGAGGCCATAATCTCTCCTTGTCATCAATGGTGTTTGCGTACGCTCAACCCAAGGGCACATCAGAAAACTGAGTCAGGGGAAGATATGGAGATCTCAGCCACTGATGCTTTCTGGATTTTTTAAAAATTGACTGTTATTTAATGTGCTATTTGAGAGGCACAACTCTAAGCCCTACCAGAGCCACATGAATGTGACATCCTGTGCATGTGTGTGTTCCTCCTAGCCTTAGTGGAAGAGTACAGAGTGACAGTGAAGGAGAGCCACTGCATTCTGGAGGACCTGGAGCCAGATCGCTGCTACAGTGTGTGGGTCATGGCTATGAACAGCACAGGCTGTAGCTTGCCCAGTGAAAAAGTCATTTTTAAAACAGGTATGTACATATTTTGGCATTTGATTGTTATTTTGACATTTGATTGTTATAAGCTTCAGGTCCTCAGACCAACTCTGGTCCACAGAGCTACTGAAACAGAAGAAACTGTTTCGTTTAGTCCATCTGGCAGAGAGCAGGCAGCTCACAGGCATTTCCATTTTTGCTAAGAGATAGAGGCATAATTGATCCTGAGAGGAAACTTGAAGGCATTCAGATTTGAAGACGTTTCCAGACTCAGGCTGCATGACCAGGGCATTAGGGCAGCACATTATGTATTTCTCTTCTGAGCGTGTTCCAGTGCTCCAAGGAAGCTCTGGGAAAGCCACCTGGCTGCTCCCTACTGCCGCTGCTTCTCCTGCAGACAATGGAGGAGGTGGCTGCATGTTTTGCCTCTCTGCCGTTGTCCTGAATACATCTATGTTGCATTTGTTTAAAGTCATTAATTTCTGAAGGGAAGGCGTGTTTTGCTGAGGTTACACGCTGTGTCTTGCTCAGTGGGACACAAATCTCAGGTGTGGCTGAGAGGCTCTGCTGTTGTTTAAGTGGTATAAATTGAGTAATTAGATAAGCATTGTTTATGAGCTTCATTTGACTGATTAGTTTTTCTGCACTTTAATTTCTTTGATAATTTCTATTGACATAACTTCTTCAATTACAAGATCCTTGTGTCTGAGTCTCTCCTGCCATACAATTTTTTTCAGTGCTACAGAATAAAAACAATTATTCCATTCCTGCAGTCACAAATGCAGACAAGGATATTTAACAATTTCCTAATGAAAAAATTCTGTACCACACTGAGTGTATTGTTGAAATCACTTGGCAGCAGCCACAGCTTCAGGCCTTTTGCTTAATCTACCAGGCTTCAAATTTGTTGATAATTCTCTTTGATACTTAATTTGCAATTCACATTTTTAACAAAGATTATTTTCCAGAGAATTCGAAGTAGAAATTCAAATTTTAGGGCCTCAACCGTGTGATTCTGAACATGGTGCAGACTTTCTGCCAAATGCTCAAAGAATGATGAGCTATGAGTAGCTAATAAATCATAATTTACAAAGGGTTTTTCACCTCTCTGAAGCCATTGTTTTTGAGAACTCCCTTTGTCTTTTGGCATCAGGCTCACCACAGTTTTCAAAAAATGGAAGCCTTCTAAAAACATTAATATCCTTGAGTCTTTAATGGCTTCTTTTTGTCTGTTTCTTTAAGAAGAAGAATAACCTAGATCTAATATGGGCTTATTGGACACCTTCCCTCAAGCTGAGTTGAACTGAGTTGCACTGAGCCTCAGATGGACTTGTGGGGACACTGCTGAGCACTGGCTGATGCAAATTCACTGCATCTCAACACCAAGAGCAGAAAGATGAGCACCAGTAATGGAAACCAGTTCTTCAGTGGCAGCCTGGCTGCTTTGATATCAGGATAAAATATTTCAATTCTTCAAGTTTCCCAGTGAACTCAGAAGCAAGAATATAGAGCTTATTTTTAGTAATTCAGATTACAAGTTGGCAGATACAAGAAAATATCTTGCTGGTATATGCAGTTATAGCAATATGCACATTAATAATTGATCAAAGCTGTGACTCTTCCAAGTGTTGGGAACCCCCACAAAGTTTCTCTGTTGGCATTGCACCCGTGGAGGTGGCAGTGGGCTGAGGAGTTGTGGGGAATACAGGTGGGTGCTGCTGCAGCATTACCCCAGCGCCCTCCTGACTCCTGCTTCTCCACCTCCCAAACTCACAGATTGTCCTTCCCTCCCCTGGAACCATGTTGTTTCCAAACAGTATTTTCTGAGACGGAATGATGTGGAAGGCAGGAAGTATCCATTTATCTCCTGAACCCTCCCCCGAACTATCTCCGGATGAAGGCTCTTTGCAATCCTAAAATCACAGAAGTGAAGGCACCTTCTGCTGTTGCTCAAAACCTCTGTGATTGTCACCATTTTTGGCACTTTGCCTCTTATAAGATCACTTATATCATAGAACCATAGAATGTTAAGGGTTTGGAATGGACCTGAGAGATCACCTAGTCCCAAACCCTTCCCTGGGCAGGGACACCTCCCACTAGAACAGGTTGCTCAAGGCTTCATCCAACCTAGCTTTGAACACTGCCAGGGTTGGGGCAGCCACAGCCTCCCTGGGCACCCTGTGCCAGTGTCTCACCACCCTCACAGGAAAAAGCATCTTCCTAATATCCAACCTAAATTTCCCCTCTTTCAATTTGTCCCCATGACTCCTTGTCCTGTCACTGCAGCTCCTAACAAAGAGCCCCTTTCCAGCTTCCCTGTAGTCCTTTCAGATCCTGGAAGGTGCAATGTGGTCTCTAAACAACCTGCTCTTCTCCAGGCTGAACAGCCCCAACTTGCTCAGCCTGTCCTCATAGGGAAGGTACTCCAGTCCTCTTACCAACTTCACAGCCCAATATGTATCAGATATGTATTCTAACTGCAGTAAATTTGTTATAAAGATCTCAGCAGCACAGTAACAGCTTTTTCTGGTATGCTCATTCCAGCTACTCTTTAGACAGATAGTTTAAAATTGAAAAAAGAAGAAGTTTCATGTCCTGTGACAAACTGTTTGCACATGCATAGATGTGGGTATGTGTGTGAGTTGCTGAATGCAGGTGTTAGGGGATTCAGTTGTTAATTTTTCATTCTTTAGGAACAGATGCACTTAGAAACAGACAATAATCAAATATCTCAGAAGAGAATCAAGGAACTATTGCCAAGGGAGGTACACAGACATAATACCAGATGAGACTCTATCCCACAAATTCTGCTGAATACCTACATTAACTGTAGTAAAACACTGAGTAAATCTCAACTTAAACTGCAAAGCTCCTGATTTTCACTAAACCAGGAAACTGATACATACTTGTGGGTGTTTTTCCTCTCCTTTTCTACTAGCAGCAAATTATTTTTCTTTTAAAAACCCCAGAGTGCATCAGGAATGTTTGTTGCAGTACTCTAAGATTATCTTGCTGCAAAATTGTCTAATCTCTGCTGTCATCTTAGGCCTCCTGTTTGGAACTCCATCTCTCTAAAAATGAAATTACTTTTTAAAACATTTTTTTTTAAAATAAAAAATAATAGCCTGTAATTTTGAATGGGTATTAAGGCTGTTTATGTGAGTTTCACAACAGATCATAAGGTGTTTTATATTACTATTTCCCAGAAAGGGAAAAAGCAAGTGAATAGCACTGATCCATTTTCAGCCTACGATGTTGAATGTGCAGTTTCACACAAAGGGTTTTGATTACTTGCATCTAGAGCATTATTTTACATTCCATTTTCTGCCTCGCAGTTCGGCCCGTAGTCCTTAAACCGACTATCTAAAAAGGAGAAATTATGGGACCAAATTTTCAGCACAGCAAAAAATAAACAGGGCATAATTAAAGAGAAAATCATCATCTCCCTGTCGGTTCTGCAGCAGCACATTTGGTTCTGATGCAGTTCATGCAGGGACTGCTGAGGACAGGAGCTGTAGGCAGTGCTGCCTCGGTGCTCTGCTCCTTGAAGATTGGCAGAATCTTCAGATTCAGAAATGAGGAAAATGTGCTTAAGGAAAGGCAGAAAAATCAACATTGCCATTCTAAGGATGTATCAAAATGCACAAATATTCACAGTGATTTTCCCAGCGTGGAGTGTTGTGGTTTTTTTTTGTACCCCTCTGCCATTGAAACACAAGCAAGCAAAAAAATCACTGCTGGGTGGAGAAAACTAACTATCCCATGGGTATGCAGGGAGGTGATTCGTCCTTTCCCTTGCAAACATTGCTCTCCTCGTGGTGCAGCTAACATGTCCTTTTGTCCCCCAGCACCTGCTGTGCCCACCATCAAGGCTGAGGACTGCACAGTGTGTTGGGACACAGCCACCATCCGCTGGCGTGCCGGCTCGGTGTCAGCAGAGTCCTTCATCCTGGAGTACTGCCGACAGCACTCGCCAGAAGGAGAAGGTCTCAGGTCAGTGCCACAGCCACAAAAACCCCTTGGTCAGATTAGGCAGTTGCTAATGAGTATCCTCCAGATCGCGCGTCATTCCGCAAGAGATTATTCTGCCTTCAGCAGCGCAGGGAAGAAATCTGCTTCTGTGTGCTGAGGAATTTAAGGGACAGACACTAATCTACGAGATTAGGCTGAGGCATAGAAGTAGTTCCTTTTATTCTGCTTAACCGGACAATCCCTTTCATTTGGGGCCAAAACCCTGGAGATGTGCTGTCTGCAGCCAACCAGAAGCTGCAGGGCTGTGCTGGCTGGGCAAGCAATCGCTGCCCTGCAGCTGCCAAGCCCCAGGGCAGGGCAGGGGAGGGCAGCTCAGCTACAAGGGAAGGAGAGTGATGGAGAAGCCTGGCCCAGTTTGCTCTCTGCTTAGTGAAGAACAAGATAGAATCAGCTTCAGGCATAGCAAGGGTGATAAGTGTGTCCCAGTAATATCAGTGACCCATCTGTGCTGTCTGGACGTGTGTGCAGATGCCTTCCAAAGCACAGCTGAGCTCAGGGCAGCCTTGGCTGTGCAGGGATGCCACAGGGGTCCAAGCGTAGCTTTGAAATTCAGGGTGGTGTCTGTTTATGCCAGATCCTCTCTGATTTCCTCTACTCTTAGCCTGTACTGCACAGAGGAGAGGGTGAGGTGGGATGTAGGCACCAATGAGCCATGAAACAAGGCACTGTGTTGAAATGCAGAGAAAATGGTCATAGAAACACAATGTCTTAGAATGGCCTGGGTTGGAATCATAGAAACATAGAATTTTCAGGGGTTGGAATGGACCTTAAAAGTCATCTAATCCCAGCCCCCTGCCCTGGGCAGGGCCACCTCCCACCAGAGCAGGTTGCTCCAGGCTTTATCCAGCCTGGCCTTGAACATTGCCAGGGTTGGGACAGCCACAGCCTCCCTGGGCAGCCTGTGTCAGTGTCTCATTGTCACAGAAAAAACTTCCTAGTATCTCATCCAAATTTCTCTCTTTCAATTTATCCCCATTGCTCCTCCCTTGTCCTATCACTGCAGTTCCTTGGAAGAGACCTCAAAGATCTTCCCATTCCCAGCCCTCTGCTGTGGGCAGAGAATCATGTGGTCTGTATGTCCTTGGGTCCTGGGTTCTTTTGCTTGCTTGCTTTTTAAAAACAGAGACAATATTCCAGCAAAACACTGTTGCAAAGATCTGAGAAGCTGTGGGAAGGGGTGACTTGCCACACAGGACCCTGTGAAATAGCCTCAGCCCAGATGGGTTTGTCTTCCCCTCCTGAGAGACCTGAATAAGGTCTTCACCAAGGGTCTAGTTCACATGGACATCATGGAGATGTGGTGCAGAGGGAAGAGCTCGATACCCTGCTGTCAAAATTAGTTAAGTGGAAGAAAGGCTTCACAGGTTTGTAGCAGACAAGTACAACAGTGAAATGGTGTGTGCCTTGCTCTTTAGAAAAGTAGGCTGAAAACTGAAATAAAAAAATTCTGTGTGGGTGGGAGATTTTTTCCCATGCAGTACCAGTGTGCTGCATTAATGCAACCCAGAAGAGGTGTTGCCCAGCTCTCCTGCCTCTCAGAGGGCAGCCATGACCTGCTCTGCTTCGTACATATTTCATGGGGCTATCTCAGGTCCCTGTTAACCTGCCAAAGCCACTGTTGGTCAGGGATAATGTATCTGCTCCCAAAACCTGTGCTGTTTGTTTGCCCTCAAGTTTCTTTGCTGTTAACCGAAAATGACTTTTTTTCCCCTCAAAAATGCACCAGAAAGTGTGCTGATTTCTGTAATCCACGAGCAAGGTGTTGATAACACCAAGTAGTATGCTGGTCTGGTGATAACTGTGGCAAAAAGCTTCCAGAACTGACCCATTCCCTTTCTGAATTGACCCTGTGCAAAATCTGACATGTTTATAATTACATTGAGTCACATTTGACTTTCTGGCCTCCCTGTGGGTAGAAGCTGCCCTTTTTCTGTGACAAGTGTGAAAACTTCCCACAGGACAAAATCAAGAATTTTCTCAGAATTGCTGTAACTTAAAATTCTCCATTTGTGGATAGGCTCTGACCTCTTTTTGTAGTGTCAAAGATGATGTTTTGCCGCTTACTTTCCATTAAAACAATTTTCTTCTTTCCTTTTCTGAAATTAACCCCCTGAAAATAACCAGGAAATCTTAATGTCATAAATTGTTTCAGTAATGGAGAATTTTTTTCAAGACTTCTGTTTAAGATTTTGCATAAAGCCAAGGGAAAAAAGAGCCCACTGCTCTCCACTCCCAAGATGCAGCTTAGGAATAGAAATCAATTTGACTAGAAGTCAATCAACTTGACTAGAAGACTAGTACCTGTATCAGGTGGAATAAAACTGTCTCTATGCACACCCAGCATTCTGGCCTGAAATGCTGTAGTTTTTCCTAGTTTCTTTCCTTGAAAGCTTGGAGTTTGTCCTTCACAAAGCAACATTCCTGAGCAATGTTCATCTTGGGGATCAGCCAAATGTGGAGCCCTTTGACAGACAGCCTATGCCTTCTGTGCTTGCAGCAGCCCTGTAGCTATGCAATTTCCCAGTCCCTGGATGGAAGCTTAAATGTATTTCTCAGCAACCCTGGAAAGTTCATACAGTTGCTGCTGGGGGCACAGTGTGAAAGCAGAGGTCAGGGAAGAACATCCAAGGGAAGGCCTGGAAAAAGCAGCATGGTCCCATCCCACAAAGCTGCTTTCACAGATGTCATTCTGGGAGCTCACCCAAGGTTAGGGACAGAATGAGGAGCTCCCAGGGGTGAGCTGCCAGGGGATTAGGAAGGGAGAAACACCCCCATTGAACAGCTGGAGATGTGTACGGAACCCCTGGTCTGAGCTGGACCCTGTAGCCTTCAGCATGGCACAGAATCAGAGGCTGGTTGAGGTTGGAGATCACTTGGTCCAACACCCCCAATCAAACAGGGCCACCTACAACCCATTGCCCAGGAGACTTTTGAATATTTCTAAGAAGGTCCTTGGAGCAGTCCCAGCTCCCCAGGGAGAGAATTTGAAGCACATCTGAAAATAAATTCTCGCTGAAGCTTCTTTCCAAATTCTGTAAAAAAAATAAAACAAAATAAAAAACATATCTACGTTTTCCCTTCTCTGTTCTCTCTCCTTGCCAGCTTGCCACCTGAGGGACATGGTTTCATATGAAATCACCCTAAATCTCCTGCAACAATGAGTCCCTGGACCGCTGCTTTGGTTTTAATTCTCCTTCCCAGGTCGAATCTTTTTCCAGAGTCTTTATAAGGCTTTGAAATGTTTCTTTCAGTTTCCAGAGCTCTGCTGTTTTCTTACCGTTCAGCCTCTTTGTGTTGAGAAGTCAATGGAGTTGTGGGTGGAAGATGGAAAGCTGTGAGAAATGTAGTCCAGGGATTAGGTGTGTGGGCTGTTCAGATGGAAAGCCTGTATCACATCATGAGAAATCTGTAAAACTCAGGGAGGCAGAAATTAGTGCAGTATGTGGTGAGCTTGTAAAAGTAGAAGTGTCTGGGTGCCATCCTCTCCAGCAATGCAAGGCCAGCACTTCTAGAGACCAAAATTTTCAGTCTACTTAAGCAGTAGGTCTAATGCTGGAACAAGAGGGGCAAGTCTCCCTCCTCTGTCATTGTCCACATCATTGTCCTGCTAGCTCAGGAAACAGGGTGTGGGAAATACAGTCTTCCTTCCCTCTGGCTCTGCCATCACAGATAGCAGCAAAGACCATTGCAGGTGGTGTTTTGGTGATCTAACCCCAAAACAGCCAGCGCTGGGATGGAGGAAAGCAAGCATGTGGCACAGCTGGGAGGGAACTCAGAGCTATTCACTCTTTATTTTTAGCTTCAGCAGCTTTTTTCCCACTCATGGTGCACCCCTTCTGTGTGCTTCTACATGTATCTTGAGAAGCTTGCATGCTTTCAGCTCTAACTCCACATCAATGGTAGCAGCACAGCTCTGGAGGTACTGTTTCAGTGGGATCTTGGGGGTGGAAATGACAATTATAGCACAGAGGGTGTTGTGAATCATTGCGAGGCGTATCATTTGCTGGGCTCATGCAATATTAAAAAATGTCCCCTAGATGTTGCTTCCTTGAAATAAATGAGAGAAACATGCATCAAAGCACAGCATTAGATTTCCCTAAAATCAGGGAAATCACAGGTTTAACAGATAACTGCTACTATATAATATTCCTTGGCAATTTAAACATGAAGAAATATGCAACTCCTTTCTGTTCTGCTTTAGACAGCATGTACCTGAAATCTGGAGACTGGATTTTCAGACCTAAAGATGCTCTTGTAATGAGAGGGATTGAGAGGAGATACTTAAAATATTTAATTTGAAATGCTTCTTGAATTTCTATGCACTAATTTTCTGTGTCATGATACCAAGAAATTGAGAGGATAGTGCAAAAAAAGCTAAAGGCCAGGATGCCTCATGCTTTGATAGCAAATTTATAACATTTCCAATCATCAATACAGTGGGCAGGTGTATATAAAGCAGAAAATAGCTGGCATTAGAAATGCTGTAGGTGGATTTCTCTTTCTTTCAAAATTACAGTTCAATACTTAGGGTGAGCTTAAGGAAGATCTAGCTGCAATGCCTGTTATAAGAACTCTGAAATTTAACAAGCTTCCACCAACACAGTCAGGATACATCTTCCCTCCCCTTCTCCTACACATGACCTGTATGCTGTAACATAAGCACTATTCATACCTTCTCCTCACCCTTACTTTTGCAGAATCAACCTGAAGCATGAAAAACTACAGTGATTGCTCAGTATTCACTCTCCCCTTTTGCCCTACCATCTAGACAGGAGAGGCAACAGACAGCAAGACCCATTTCTTTTGCACGCAGCTACTTGTGAGCTTGGACCTGGCTCAGAATGTAGCAAATTAAATTCCTTCTTGTCAGCATATTCTGTTTCATTAGTTGGCAGCAGCAGGACTGTTTTTTAAGCCTTAATCGTAGCTAAAATTGTGGCCTCTTACTCTTAGGCAGCTTAAAGCTGGCTAAAATAGATTACCAAGCAGAGAATGCTATTCGAAAATCTGATCACTGTTTTACTGACCAGATCTGCTCAAAGTCATGATTTTTCTGTCTCACTATTATGCTGTTGCTCTCGGACTAAAACATGCATCCAAATTCTGATTTGGAGAATTTTGAAAGAAACCCAAGTCTGAACTTTGATGGCTGACCCTATCTGCAAGTGGCTGGACCCAAAACACCTAAGTCTCTGGGATCCAGACTCTAGAATATGAATGCCTCATGTCTGCTCATTACACCAGAATGTATCTGTCTACTTGGATTCAGAAACCATTTTGTGTTTTGTTAATTAATCATCAGATAGATAGCACACAGTGAAAAAGAAGATCTCTTCATTTCTTTGGAAGGAAATACTGACTTACATGACATTTTCCAGAAGACAGAAGGGGCCACATACAGGGCATCACTGTGCTTAGGGCATGTTGATCTACATATTGCCATAAACAGCTTCTGACAAATAGCTTAGTGTATCCTGCCTTCATCTCACTTATAACTGTTTTCTTAAAACTCCCTGCTGGTGGTCTGTGCTTCAGATTCACATCAAAGATGTCAATGTAGTCCTTTTAAGGAATAAATCAGGTGAGTCTTGCCTAGGAAGCGTGGGCAAATTTCTATAAAGCTTTGGTGCCTACTTCTTTTCCCCTATCTCTGCTTCTATCCCGCTTGTCCTTTCTCTCACTTATTTTATATTTGCCTCCTTTCTCAGTTCCTATCTTGTATTTTTCTTCAGCTCATCTTCCCTTTTTCTCCTGTCCCCTGTATTCAGATGAGCCCTTTTCCTCTTTCAAGCCTAAAGAGCTCAGGTTCTCATCAGGCAATTCATCAGGTTGCACCTCCTCCCTAAATCTTTCTGTAAGAACTGAACTGCCCGTGCCTGCCAAACTCCCTGTGTCTTACTGAAGATCTCTTGTGGTCAAGGCTTTGGTGAGCTATAACGGTGAAGCAAACCTTGCTATTTCTACTATGTTAGCAACCACTTCTCTTTACTACATCAATTCCAGTGTTCATCTAACACATTCCCCCAAAGCAGCATTGCCCTATGCTGGTCACGCAAGAGCCCCACACTCAGTTCTTTTAAATTGAAAGAACAGACCACAGGAGCACCCAGCGCTTTTTCTCGGTGCTTTCAATCACTTTTTAACAGCAGCTGTCAGCACAAAATACCTGTTACAGGCTAATAAGGATGATGCACCCGTCTTTTCCTAGGATACCATCCTCACAGCAAGAGATCTGTGCGGTGTTAGCAGGAATTCGGTGTGAAGTTTTAGCTTAGTGTGATAAATGCAGCAGAGGGAGGCACGTGAAAAATCCTGGTGGATGAACACTGGTTATTCTTCAGTTTGTACTGCTCTCTGCTGGGATACACGGGGAAAAACAGTCGCCCCAAGAGAATAGCAATGGTCTGATCTGACCGCTGAGTCGCCTCCTCTGGGGTCACGGCAATTAGTGCTGGAAAACGTAATTTGTTTAGTTCATCTTCTCACAGGGGGAGGGATACGATCGTGGGCTCCACTCTCAAACCCCAGGTGGGTGGGGAAGTGCCTTGCATACATTCCAAGGGCAGATCTCCCGTTCATGAATTTAAACATCTGCCTTGAAGATTCCTGTGAGCATTTCTGGGAGGAAGTTATCTACTTTATACAGACAAGCAGTTTTCACCTGCAGGCATACAATGCAGTGTGTGTACACTGTCTGGATTTGCTGTTATCATTTGAGGCAAAAATGAGGAAAATCAGGACCTAGTGTATGAAGAATTTGTTAAGCCAAACTTTAATACTCCTGACAACACAGAAAATAAAATTAGCATCTTTCTAGCCATCCAAAGTCCTTTCACTGGTACTTTGAAGCACCTGCAAAGCAAATCAAGTGGGTGCTCTTGCTTTCTGGCAGTGTGTCAAGAAGCAGTGGTTGAGGATGTGAAGGCTGGAGCTTCTGAGGCACCACAACAGGGGGATTTAGTCAAAGCAGGGCACTGCATAAAGGCAGCTCCTCTGCTGCTGTCTCCTGCAAAACTGGCCTGTTAGGGTGTACAGCACTGTGAGGGAGCCAGGGCCCAGACTAATCTATTGAAGAATTTGTGAGTGAGGAGTTCATAACACAAAGTGAATCACCATGATTCTTGTAAGGTCTCAGATAAGGGTGTCCATTCTTTTGGATTTGCAGCATCTGCCCAGGCAACAAAACCACAAGCACATTCACTGTCATGCATCTGAATTAATTAAATGATGAGCTTTTTCTTCAGAAACTTCTTAATTTTGTAAAGCAAACTTTCCACAGGAGGCAGATGAGGCTTTGACTCTGTGCTGCTTAAATTTTATGTGATGAGTTATGCTGCAGAATGAACACAAAGTGAGCTTTACACCAAACAACTGCACTGAGGGAGAAGGTGGTACAGGAGCAGGAATCTGAAGATTTGTCAGACAAAATGAAGACAATCCCTCAAGTAACATGCTGAAGCTTCTCATAACCTAGTTGTTTGTGAAAACGGTGCTCAACTTTCTGATCTGGAATTTCTGTGTGGTGCCTGTGGTTTCAGTACTCAACAACACTCTTAGGTGGCTTAGCTGCTTGCATAATTAGTCTTTCCTTGTTTGAATATCTGAATACATTTTCATGTATTGTCAAAATTTGCAGATCTTTTGCTGGTATAAAGAAACCTGAACTGAAAGTATCCCTGGAGCCCAATGTGAACTATTTCTTCTACCTGAGGGCTGTCAACCCATTTGGGACAAGTGAACAAAGTGAAGCAGCTCTCATCTCAACTAAAGGTAGATCATCATTTCTTGATACCACAACAATGGGATGGAGGGGCAAAGCAGACAAACATTTTTCTCTGGAAATCATACCTGAACTTCCCAATATGGGAGTGAGCAAGTTATTGAAATTTTTATCTCAATAGCCTAAATTTATATCAATTTTTTTTCTGCTTAAAATTACCATAATCAGGACTACTTCACTTGAAGTTTGTATATTTATGTCCATGTAAAACTGGTGCAACCTAAGAAACAAAAACATTGAATTCTGTCAGACATATAAAGTGATTCAAATATTTTTTAGGGATCTCAGTTTGCTTGATTAAGGTTTCCATGACATTAAAAAAACCATCTCACAATTAAAATTTTGTGGACTTTGGGTTTCAGTGATGAGGAAGCAGGAGAGGCATTTTGAAAATGCAATGGATGATTTAAATGCTAAGATTTCTAGATAAATAGTGTTAACTTATGTATGGTTTTTCCAAATCAGCCTCAAAATTCAAATTTGCTATTTTGAAAACAAATTAATTGATGACAGTTATTTGACCTTAAATAATGAAGAACTCTTCATCACCTAGCTGTATTTCTGAACATTAGACTGCTGTCCCAAATGGGCACAGCTTGGAAGGCTCCTTGCATTTGCACCCAATTTTCTGTCACTCCTACTTGCCAGCAGACACAACATTGTCCAGCTAAGGTGGCAGCTTTTATAATTCATCCCATGTTAATGTAGCCAGCCTCTCAGATCTGGTATTCCTTTGCTATCAATGGCACCAGGAACTCGATTTCGCCTGCTGAGCGACACAGCCCATCCTGCTTTGCAAATCTCCTCCAATGCAACAGTGATCCACCTTCCTGAGAGAAACAAACTCAGTGGGTGAGTACCAGCATGATGTGCTTGACCACCCCATGGGGTTCAGGGTGGTTCCCTCTCTTTTGTCTTTGCCTATAGGCAGCTTTCACATGACACCAAGTAGTTTTGTAGAAGAACTGAATCATTTTGGTCATGCAGCCTGTGGACTTTGAGCAATTGACCTCCCCTTCAAGCACTGCAACATCTCAATAAAGCCAGTGGTAGCACTGATGTGTGGGGCTGGGAAGAGTTCAGTGTGGCTCTAAGGAAGTCAAAGGCAGTGATACCTACTGGGAATGCTTGATTTGCCTCAGCCCATGGTCACTGTGTAATCTGACAGAGCGCTTCGGTCTCAAAGCAATTTTTTGCTGCCCTGAGAAGGTCAGATTTGTGGGCTTATTTTTTAATATATTGTGGCTACACGTAATCCATTTGCCACCGTTTCTTTCTCTCCTAAGGGCATTATTGGTTATGTTTTCCGAAGTATTTGTGGCTCTGGAGAAATAGGAAGTGCTCCTGGGATGTGTTTACTATGGTTGTACCAGGCTAGCTCTATCCATTGCGAACATGGAGTGGGTTTTGGCATGGTGATATCAGTCCCATCACAAACACAGGTCCACTTGTTTAAGTTGTGCTATACTGACAAGGCTTCTTAAATGTAATGAGGATTTACTGATTTAAGCACTTTTTTTGCTATTCACTGAATGTACACAAGATGTTTGTCACTGTGTGTACACAAGATGTTTGTCACTGTATCTGCTTAAAACATCTATGCTTTCTAGTCTGAACAATCCTTCTAAATCTGAGGTCTTTTAGATGAGTTCATCTCAGTGCAAAGATGAAAAGACTCTCAGTGATGACATTTAAATCTTTGATAAAACCCTGCAGTTATAACAACCAAGTAATTTTAGATGTTGCTGCGTGATGTGACTGAAAGAAATATCACACTATGGCTGGTCTACCACCAGACTCACTTTACTGGATGCCTCTTCCACTAACAGGTTTCCTTCAGTCCTGGGTGAACTGCTGCCTGCTCAGGGATGTTATTACTGGGAAATCATTGTCTCTGCCTGCAGAAGCTACAGGATTGGGATTTGCTACGAGTCAATACCACAGAGCAGTGTCCTGGGGCTGAGTGACACCTCCTGGTGCATGCGGTGCTGTCCTACACAAACCAGGTAAAGAAGAGTCAGTCTAGCTGTTTGGGAATTTACTTATCCTTCATGAAAGTAAAGCTGGACAGCGTCAAGAATCATGAGGGCAGAAAAGATTCTGATTTCTTTATGCAAATTTGAATAATAAGAAAGGGGTAACTACAAAAGATATTTAGACCTCCCCTTAGGTAAAAAAGTCATATAATGCACCTTAAAAATAAGATTACTCTCATAGAGAGATTTTACTGCCCTTCACACAGTCAGTGAATAAAACTTACAGAATTAATCTGCCACTGCTTTGTCATTCCAGGATCATATCTTGAACTGCTTCACTAAACCCCAGCAAGTGTATTTATTTCCATAAATGCAGTCTTTTTAGAATTTATTTCCATCTGTGGGAGATCTCAAGCCTTGATAG